ATAAACAGATGTGCTGTCATCCAGATTTTGTTGTTCCATTTTTAGAGCACAGTTAGCGTAGATTGACCACTTTGGAGCCTACAGTTTTTGGACTCATCAGTGAGCACTGGTTTCCACTTAAAGTCACCTCCAACAAGAGTCAGCCCGTCCTTTGAAGCTGCAGAGCCAGGCTCTGACTTCCCCTCTCAAGCTATGACAGTCCTACATGACATCTTCTTCCCATAGAAGGCTGTTCTATCTCCACTGAAAAAGTCTACTGTTTGGTGTAGTCACTACCATTAATTATCTTAGCTGGATGTCCTGGATAACTTGCTGTTGCTTCTGCATCAGCACTTGCTGCCTCACCTGCACGTTTACATTATGGTGACAGCTGCTTTCCTGAAGCCTCATGAACCAGACTCTATTAACTTCCAAGTTTTCTTCTGGAGTTTCCTCAGCTCTCTTGGCCATCATAGAATTGAAGAGAGTCAGGGCCTTGCTCTGGATTGTCTTCAGGGAGTGTTGGGGTTTGTTGGATCTTCAATCCAGACCATTCAAATTCTCTCCATATTGGGAATAGGCTGTTTTGCTTTCTTGCCATTCCTGTCTTCACCAGAGCAACGCTTTTAGGTTCCTTCAAGAACTTTACTTTTGCATTCACAACCTGGCTAACTGTTCTTCACAAGAAGCTGGGCTTTCTACCTATCTTGGCTTTTGACATGTCCCTCTTACCAAGCTTAATCGTCTTTAGCTTTTGATTTAAAGTAAGAGACATGTGACCCTTCCTTTTATTTAAATACTTAGAGGCCGTGATAGGGTTACTAATTGGCCTAATTTCCATATTGTTGTGTCTCAGGGAGTAGACAGGCCCAAGGAAAGGGAGAGAGACAGGAGAGCAGCCAGTCAGTGGAGCAGTCAGAACACACACGACACTAATTGATTAAGTTCGCTATCTTATATGGGCGCTGTTCATTACACATCAAAACAATTACAAAAGTAACATCAAAGATCACTGATCACAGATCCCCATAACAAATATAATAACAATTTTAAAAGTCTGAAATATTGTGAGAATTACCAAATTGTAATTGTAACACAGAGACACAAAATGAACAAATGATGTTGGGAAAATGGCACCAGTAGACTCACTTGGGGCAGGGTTGCCACAAACCTCCAATTTATTTTTTAAAAAAAAGTAATATCTGCAAAGCACAATTTAAAAAAATTATGCACAGTAAAATGAGGTATGGATGGCTCAGTCGGTTGAACATCTGACTCTTGATTTCGGCTCAGGTCATGATCTCAGTTTGTGGGTTCAAGCCCCACATAGGGCTCTGCAATGATGGTGTGGAGTCCGCTTGGGATTCTCTCTCTCTCCCTCTCTCTCTCTGCCCTTCCAATCATGCTCAATCTCTCTTCTCTCAGAATAAATAAATAACCTTGAAAAAACTTTTTTTTAAAATGAGGTATGCCCGTATCTAATAGGACACCTGTCATTCAAGCAATCAATTAAATACCTCATATGGTGCATAGAATAAAAATTAAAGCCAGTTGCTCAGGACCAGCTAGCAAACAGCTAATTCCCTAATAGCAGCAGAACTTCAGCAAAACCCAAGTAAAGAGAAGATGAAGATCCCCTCCAGTTTCTTTAGCAGCACTTGAGTTTTGAATCAATCATTGTGCAAAGTAAAATAATTTACACGTGGCCAGAAGTTGGTCAGTGGTTTCCGGCTTCCCCAGAAGGCACTGGGTTTGGTTGCGAGTGTGTGTTTGTGTGTGTGAGTGTGTGCGCACGTGTATGTGCGTTATGCTATCGTGTTAATTTAGTAGTCCCCTGACTAAACGCATTTCATCCCTTCACAGATTTGCACAGGTGGCTTCAACATTGGCCTTCCTGTTTCTATTTACTCCAGAAATAAACTGAGCTTCCAGGCTCCGCTTTCCTCTCCCTGCATCACTGGAGACTAGGAGCTTTCTCTGGCTGGGAAGCCAAGAGAGTCCATTGAACCAGATTAACATCATTTTAATGGATCAACCAGTGACAAGTGCTAGACTCACTAACTAGGTGGCAGACTTCCCTGCCCAGGCTCCCGGGAGGATTTCAGATTTCACGCACACCCAGCCCGTTTGGCTCACCACATCTTTCAGCTCCAGATCTTCTGGGATTCCAGTCAGCAGGCCATGTGTCTCGTTCTACCTCTGAAACCCCCAGCCGCTGAGCCATGATGAGTTTTCCACACCTCACCCCGGGGTGTGTCGGCACACAGAGCCAAAGCATTTGAACTCTTCCGAGCTCATTAAAATACAAGGACAACCGGGGTCTGCTAACTCAGCATCCACTACTCTGGCTCCCCACACCCCTCTGTGCCCCCAAACTCACAACCCCAGTAGATCCCATGAATAAAGACATGTGTGACTGTCTCTGATGGTCTGGAAACAATACAGTCATGTTTAATTCCCACTTGCTCCTGATTATATTTTCAGTAGAGCAATAGCCCATGCTGCCTCCCACATTAAGCGTCCCTGTGAGGCCATAAACGATGTGACTGGAGGCCAAAGTCACACTTTCCCACAGGGGCCAAAATTGCCATATTTCTCAGAAAGCTGTATATTTTTAGCCAGAACTGATTTGAGATGCTCAGAGAAAGAAATGTTTTAAAGTATGGTCAGACAAGTAGAAATAAGAACAACTAAGTGTCCTTTATTTGGTAAAAGTACTACTTGGGAAAGAGGTACATTTGGTGGGAAGGAAAAAAATCTCTGGGCCTCAGAAGATGACAGCACGAAAGGAATCCATTGGGATTATCCGTGAAGTTGGAAGACAATGGGTGAAATACTTTTAGCCAAGCTTCTGACAAAGAAACACACCCCCTCCATCAACCACACGATTCGAACCCAGCACTGCTCACGACTGCACAAGCAAAACAGCAGCAGGGCCAAGAGCTCGGGTTTTGGATTAGATGTAGGGGTCCTTTACTGGGGTCTTGTTGAGGGTTGTCGGTGGGGCTCTCCCACATGCTAACTGCAGCTCTTGGGGTGAGTAACTTAAGAACTTAAGCCTCAATCCCTTCCTTTGCAAAATGGGCTAATTACGTCTCTTCCTTAGGGCTGCCATGAGCTGAACCAACACCTTACTATTGCACGTAGAATAGAAAGTGGCAACAACCATCCCCACGTGCCCATCACGGGACGGACAGTAGTCAAAGAAATGGTCACTGCCCTCCAAGAGCACACAGTCCAGTGGAAAAGGAATGTGCACATGTCTAATTGGAGGATAATGTGCACCTGCCTTAGCTGTCGTTACCCATATGGCTCCAGGAGCACCGAACAAGGGACATTTTCCTGGTGGAATCAGGAGGCACGTGCTGGCGGTCTCCCCGCTGGGCCTCTGCACTTTCTCATCACATCCTGTGACCGAGGTCCTCGAGCAAGGAGATGGCATGATGATCAGGCTGGCTCCCTACCTTGCATTCAGTGTGAAAAGATCCCAAGTACAGTTGGTCATGTCTGTGACTCCAGGGGGCTCCCTGAAACCAGTTATACCTGTGCCTTTTTCAAAGTCTGGAAGATGCTCTTAAATAGCTTCTTCCTCAAAGGACCTTGGTCACTTCATTTATTTTCTCAAGGACTTTTGAGTCCACCTCACATCAAACAGTCATTCAGCTGTACAGAATGTCTTCCATCAGAACCTTCCCGTGAGAGTGGAAATGTCAAAATCAATTTCCTGGAGAAGAAACAAAAATGGTGCTTTTTTTCCCCCTAAAATTGTCTTGAGAGCAAAATTTATGAGAGTAGAAAAAATGCCCTGAGGGATCAGATGGAAGGCTCATTTGAAGGGTCATGTTCATCTGGACCAGGGAAAGCCCTGGAGAAGAAACTCCACTGGGCCCCAGAGAACAGACTATATGTTGAAATTTTTCCTCATCTTTAACAGCTACAATTCTTTTGCAACGTGCTGGTTGCATCTCAAGGCTAGTGGGTTGGCAAGGTGTTTTACATGGGAAAACTGAACAAGCTGGAGTCACAGACAGAGGCTGGCATGACATATTGCAGACAGCCTGGCGATGGGTGAGGTATGTCCAGGTGCCAAAGATATTTGGAAAGGCCCAGAGCCCCGTTAAGCTATCTGGAGCTTCAACTACAAGGAATGCTAAGATCTTACTGGAATATATCTGCAAGTACGTCCCATTGTAACTCAGAACACTGCTCCGGACTCATTACAGAGTGGTCAGAGGTAAACTGGTTCCTTTGCCACAAAAGAAAACAAGGTCCTGAATAAAAATCGGAAACGTTCTTTTCCGTCCTGTCCCTGTCTGTCCCCACTAACTAAGTGTTGAAAAGAATTTAAAGATCGTCAGCTTGAAGAGAAGCCAACTTTCTATCCTTCCTGTGGGCCCCAACCCCACCCCAGCCAGCTGGTCCAGAAGTACAGGCAACTGTTCCTGAGCCTCAGGATAGAAAGACTGAGCACAGCGTGGGCATAGTTCAGGCAAGTCACCGATCTGATAAACGGGAGTGATCAGAGCAAAGATCCCACAGCAGATCCCAGGGCAGAGCCCTCAAAAATGGGAAGCCAGAGCCCATCCCGGCCAAAGCCCTGGTAGCTGGGCTGGATGCATGTGTGAGCACCGGTCAGGGTTTGGGTTTAGGGAAACAGTAAGGTGAGTCCCCTTCAGAACGGGTGACTCCAGAATTACAGTTTAAGAAGGGCGTAGGGGCAGTAATTTTGATGGGAGAGGACTAGGAAAGCTGAACGCAGCTAGCACTTTACATAGGCTTGAGAAAATGTCAGTTACTGTATCAAAAAGTGTGAAGGCTATGGAGATTTGTAGATTTGGAAGGACAAAGCCTCCAAAAAAAACAAAACAAAACAAAACAAAACAAAACACACTGCAAGTCACCCCTGACCCTATAGAATCAGGAAGTTTCTTGGATTCAGAATTCTCTACGGTCACTGCTCTGAGGTCCCAAACAGAATGGCAGACTTAGAAACCAGGTCCCACAGTGGAGGAGACTCGGGCTTGCAAAAGTCAGCTGCCAGTGTCCTTCCCCAGCAGACGGGAGGGAGGGGGACGGGAAGGGCTTGCCATGAGGCCGTTCGGCGGTCGGCGGAGGGACACGCATCCTCCGTTAGCAGAGTGGGGATGGTGTCTGGCCGTGTCCCCTGACAGTGTGCGCTGTGAGCACCGGGGGCTGCTTAATCGTTTCCTGCCTATGGTCTGGACAGGCCTGGGAAGGAGGCTGGCCCCGGCTCAAGCTGCAGGTGGGAGGTCCGCATGGCCAGCTGTGATGGAGCTGGGGGGAGGCTGAGGCAGGGGAGACGCACAGGGGTAGGGGTGGGGCCGGGCAGGACACGCTGAAATGAATCCTTGAGTGTCCTGAGGAAGAAGACGGGTCATTCAGTGTGGGGAAGGAACTTCCTTCCCTCTTTCTATATTTTCCTTTTTTTCTCTTTCCTCCCAGGCAACTAGCCAGAGGCAGGATGAGCCGTCTCAAGGAAGAAGAAATTAAAAACAGCTTTCAAATTACTGGAGGTCATGTCCTGTTTTAAGCAACAAGAGAACAGTGTGCCATCTCTGTCACAGAGGCTGCCGTGCATGATCCCCAGCCAAAGGGACCGCGTCGTGCTCTGTTGGTACTGGCCTCATAGCCTCGGGCCCAGACGCGAATGCACAAATCACCCTTCCTTTGGAGAAGCTGCCCAGCACCTCCACAGCCCCTAAGGCGCAAATTCCTTTCACTGCAGACGATTCTGCAAGGTTTTCCTTTGCGAGCTGAGTACAGATACCATAATCCAAGAGGTGGTCTCCTGGGCTCTTTTATCTTTACCCCGTGTTCCTGCACATTTGGCCCAGAACCTAAAGAGGAGGCTCCCAGTAACAACTGGACAGCCAGTGAGTGAGCAATGGTACCTTCGCTCCATTTCCCAAGTGAAATCGTTTAGAATTCACGAATAACCGAAGCAACAGCCACGGTTCTTTAATGTTCAGGTGAAGCAGAACTGTCTTCAGAGTGTAAATCTTCTGAAGGTCGCCCTTCTATCCAGTCTTCAGGCCGGTGGCGGATATTGGGTCAGCACTCCATGCCGTCTGGCGAGACCGGGCGTGGCAGCAGCCAGAGGATGTTGTCAGTACTTAGACGCAGCCGTAAGCAGCCCCGAAGAAACTTTAAAACAAAGTTTTAAAGGGAGAGGGTGGCCCGTACTCAGCACTGGCTTCTGTGACCCAGTGACATGCAGGGCTCATGCCGGGAAGACAGGTGCATCAGGCTGACTGGAGCCGAAAGCATGAAACATGCTGTTCCTTTAACTCACCAGGCCACCTCTGCTGAGGATCAGGACCCTCCCGCGGGCCTGCTGTTGGAGAGCGTGGAAGGGAGAGAATGTGCAGCTGAGGGTCGAGAGCACTGCTCTAGCCCCTTCAGTGATTCTGCTTCTTAATTTTAATTGACTTTGTTTACTTAATTTACAAATAATTTGGTTACTGTAAGTCCGCCTTTGAGAGACTGGGTCTGCTGAAGAATTTAGTGCCTATGGTAAACCCAATCAACATGAACTGGTGAGAAAAATGAATAAAATTAGGCTCCTTTGCCCGCAAGACTGAAGGATTGGAGGGAAAGCCTTATAGGCAATGCCTCTCTGTGAGCAGCTGGACACGTAGCCTGCTGGCCTCGCTGGGCTGTGAATAAGCCTGCCATAATTGCTCCTTGATCAAACATGCAACTAACGTGTTCCTAACACAGACAAGTGCAAATAAAACCAGCTCTTGGGCCGGGACAGGGAGTCGGGGAGCGCAGGGAGGAGGCCAAGGGAACTTTCATACTGCAGAGAAGAATATAAAGCAACGAACAACTAACTCTATTGCGTGGGCAGGGAAATGACAGCAGCTGGCACTGGGCTTTGTAGGTTTACCAGGATGGAAGGTTGGCCCAACGTACCCCAGATAGGATGGAAATATCTCTGAAATAGGAAAAAGGTGGGACACTTAAAGCAGGAAGTTTGGGTTCTGAAGGGCTAGATATGAAGCTGGAGACCAAAGGACTGACCAGATCTCGCAGAGACGCAGATGCCAGGCGGAAGCGGGCCTCAGAAGACTGACCAGGTAATGGGAAACGGGTAACAGTGCAAGGGCCACATCCCCAGAGCAAGGGACTAGAATTGAAAGAACAACTAAAATATTGACACAGAAATCTGGTGAAAAGGACGATTGAGTCTATTTAGGGGACTTGTCTCTCCCTCCAATTCTCTACGTTTTTTCTCCCATCCTCTATTATGTCAGCTCAGCCCACTATGTTTTACTGGCTTCTGCTGTACATATATGATCTCACTTAACTGTCCAATGGATGTGAGGCACCTACCCTTCCCCAATTTGTAGGTGAAGAACAAAGAGGCTACTTGCAAGCTAAGTAAGTTGCCCAAAGTCATACAGCTGATACCAAATAGCTTATCAGAGGCATCGCCTTGAATTCAGACTCAGGTCTGCTGAGCTGAAGACTAACAATTCTGTGTGTGTGTGTGTGTGTGTGTGTGTGTGTAGAGAGAGAGAGAGATTTCCTGCTATCTAGGGAAATTCGAGAATATGATTTCTTAGCAAAAGCTTTTAAAAGTCAAGTTCTCTCTTTGGCACCTGGATTTTTAAAATTCTTTTATAACAGCATCACATTGAGTCCAGGAAGCATTTGCTTTCAACAAGTAGTAATTGCAAAGTAGATAAGTGAAATTCTCAAATATATTAATTCCTCAATCATATGAACAGGGCCAGCACTGACACAGTAAATCAAATAGGACTGGTGGCTTAAACGAGATAAAAGCTTATGATTCCTTTACAGAAGGAAGTCCAGGAATAAGCAGTCTGCAGTTGTGACAGTGGCACCACATGACCATCAGGGACCCTCACTTACGTCTTCCTGCTCCACCATTCTTCACACAGGAGCTTCCATTTTGAAGGTCACTTCAAGATCAAATATGGTACCAAAGCTCTAGCCATCAAGTCCATGATCCAGGTAGGCATCTGAAGAAGTAAGGATGGGCAAGGACCTTCCTCCATCCTTCCCAGTCATCAGGGGCACTTTCTAGAAGTCCCTCTCAACAAATTCCACTTGGAACTAGTTGGCCGTCCCACGCCACAAGGGGATCTGGAAATGTGGCTTGTTCTAAGCAGCAATGTGCTCAGTGACAAATCTGTCACTCAGGAAGAAGGCGAGAATAGATTTTGAGTAGGCAACTAACAGCCTGTGCCACCTAGATAACCTGAATTAGCACGGAAGCCAAGAATTAATTTAAATTCAGACAGTATTCTAGGATTCCATTTGCATGTGAATAATGGAAATCTGAACCTCTTACAGCACTTCTTCCGCAGGCCAAAGAATGAAAACATTAGAAAACATATTTGAGGGTCTTAAAAGTTTGCTTTTAATTTTTTTCATGACTTTTGGTATTTTAATGAGAGGTTTGCTCCTATCTGATACGCTTAATTGCCCTGAGGCCTATCAAAATTTTCTCTAATTGTATTTCCGATATACGCTCTTAGAATAATGAGGGCAATATATGAGATGTGAGAAATACAGCTGTCGGGGTTGGGAAAGCTGAAGCTAGATCTAGGGAGTATTAACCAGTGAAAAGATGCTGCTATTACACAAATAACCACCAACCTGAGGCTCTTCCCTGAGAGCTCAGCTTGTCCACAGAACTATGCTTTACCCTGAGAGTTGCAGGGTGAAAATTGTATAACGTTTTTAAAAATCAACCATAAATAGGGTTGTCTCGATTGCCAAGGGCCATCAGACATGGCCTCTTAACTGGTAAAGTACAACTCCCTGCACCCTTTATCTTTTTCCTAAATCAACTAATATGGTTTGGGATTAAGGAGGCATTGAAAACATTTCAAAGTTAGAGTTCAGCCATTATCCAAGTGATTCTGGTTATGAGAACAGGGCCACCTATATCCATGATTCCCCAGACTTGGCCAATTTAGAGTAAATACATGAAAATACTCTGTAACCATGATTCCACATTTTCTTTTCTTTTTCTTTTTTTAAGTGTTTCTTTATTTTTGAGAGGGAAAGAGCTAAGGAGGGGCAGAGAGAGGGAGACACAGAATCCAAAGCAGGCTCCAGGCTCTGAGCTGTCAATACAGAGCCCGACGCGGGGCTCAAACCCACAATCCGTGAGATCATAACCTGAGCCCAAGTCGGGACGCCTAACCGACTGAGCCACCCAGGTGCCCCTCCACGTTCTCTAATTAGGAAAGAAAAATCTGCAGAATTTCCAATACTTGCCATTTTTAAATCTTTTAAAATAATCTAAGACCGTTTTTCAAGTTACACTAACTTTGGAAAGCCATTGTCAGACAATGCTGAGTTTGGATAAACAGTTCCAGTCTACCTCTAAGTAAAATTGTGACCTATTTTTAGAGACCAGAGGTTTCAGTGTTTTACTGTTCTAGAAATAAACACCATCATCATTCCTTCTCTTTCAATGAGCACAGCTGTCTGGGTGGGGATGTAAACATCCCCTGGCCGTGTTGTGAATCCAAACACAACAATGTCAGGCTGGTGTGTGAGAACCAGGAAATGAGGCTGACCCCAAATTGCACAAGAACTGATCTATTCTCGTGATCAAATCTAGACGAAGTAAGGCTACAAGATACACAATACACTTGGGCCTCTTTTAGAAATTAAACTTTTTTTTTTTTTTGGTCAGTCTAGGCTTCTTCTAGAACTGATGGAACTCTATATTAATCTTATTTTTTATTTTCTGTATTTTATGATGTCTTGACATTTTCAGGGGCCTCGCTAACCAGGGAGAGACTGCCCCTCCCTGGGCTGGTCAATTCCTAAGATAATAATAACTTACCTGTGAACACACCTTTCATATGCAAACTACCCAACCCTGAGTCCCCACCCCCAACCACCTCCTTTATTTAAGTCAATATTCCCCGGCCCCAAATTACCCCAGGGCCAGGTACCAGACAACCAAGGACAGCTCATACACTCCAATCCTGCCAGAATCATCTGAACTAGCCAATCAGAAATTGTTTTCCCCGCCCTGTTTTGCCTTACCCACACACACATACAAAAAAAAACCCCCACAATAAAGGCTCTGGCCCATGTTTGCTCCCCTCTCCTTTCTGTCTCCTGACCAACACTGGTGCTTCCCCACTGGCTATGCGCGGCGTCGCAGGCCCCTTCCTCTTGGGAAATATAAGTAATAAAAATCTTCTTTCACCGCGGGAATCTATCCCCACAACCGAAAACACACTGTACACACTGTGTGTTAGCCAATTTGACAATAAATTATATTTTTAAAAAATCTTTCAGTGGCATAAGTCTGTCTGTGCTGTCACTCAGTCACTTCTATAAATTAAAAGTCTCACGGGCACCATCATGATACAGCTCCCATTCATCAGTACTTCAAAACATGGCGCCAAATGAAGGTGGGCAAAGTCCCAGTTCTGTCTTCATCCATCATCCAGTCTGCCGGTTCAGTCTGTGTGCAGTTGGGTAAGTAT